ATATATATATATATATATATATATATATATTCATTCCATTATTGAATTTTAGACACTTCTTCAAAAGAATGCGACTTTAGAAATCTCATGTTTATTCGTACATCAAATTCAAGCAAAAACATTTATTTATTGGACAATGGATTTAAGACTAGAAAACTTTTTTTATAATTGATGACATATTTTTATAAACATAGACATATGGGATTGTAAAATAAAACTTTTGTTAATTGGTTGAAAATATTATATTTATATTAATTGTTTAAAAATAGTTTTTCTTTTTTTTATTGCCTTATATTGCAATATAAATTGAATTTTTAGGAAAGTCGTTGTTTATTTTGGCGTAAAGCAACTTGCTTAAATATCTTAATTAAGAATAATTAAATATAACAAATCTGTTACACAATTATATATTATATAAATATTTGATAATAAAAAATGTTTAAGAATTCAAAAAAGTATCCGTGCAACGTTAACAATAATGCAAAAACAATAAACGGTTCGATGAAAAACTATAATGGGTTCTTTAAAGTACCGTGTTTTAAAGTTCTTCCTAAGAACCCTTTCAAATGGTTCTTTGAAGAACCTCCACGGGTGCTCCACCAGCTTCAATGCAAAGAACCTTTAAAGGTTCTTTAAAGAACCTTACTTTAAGGTTCTTCCGAAGAACTATCTAAAAGGGTTCTTTGAAGAACCTCTACAGGTGTTCCACGAGCGTCGACACGAAGAACCCATAAGGGTTCTTTGAAGAACCATTCGGCTTAAGAGTGTAACGAGTGTCACAGAACCTTTTTACAGCCAGATTTAGTACTAGTACTTTAGTATTGAATAAAAATTTGCCATTGCATTTTTGACGAAGAAAAAAGTACATAAATTCTTTGCACAACACCAAAAAACGTCATAGATTTAGATAATTATTTTGCTGCGTTCCAAATTAGAAAGTTGAGGCTATGGCTAGCGCAGGGCATGTAAAATACTTTTGGATTTATTTCTAAGATGTGTGCCTGTTTTCAAGAGTGATAACAATGTACTCAAGAGTGAATACTTTTTATATTGGAACTGTTGTCATACCATTGTCCGCTTTAGTCCCTGATTTGCAATCCAATTTTATCTAACTCTTGTAAAAGAACATCAGTTAGATTTTTTCCCGTTGTTGATTTAACGTCTAAGAATCCATGGAAATGTTCTTCGATGCTTAGATCTTCATTTTCACTCTTAAGAGAAGTTGCATTCATTTTAATTTTTACAGATCGCATGACCATTGATAACTGGTCCTTCTGACTAAGATCCGGTGTGCAGTCTATTCATTTTTTACCTTTTTTTATTTAACTTTTTTTATTAATTTCATTTTACTTACGTTACTTTTGAGTTTTGTTTTAAATTCTTTTATTTAATATGTTCTTGTTTCTTTTTTTTAGATATTTTGTTTTTTCTTCTTTTTTAGTTTTGAAAAACAGAATGAAATTTTCGCCTAATCTATTAATTTTTTTTTTTA